GAAGCTGTAGATCATAGAAATACATGTAACAGAAGATGTAGATCATAGAAATACGTTAACAGAAGCTGTAGATCATAGAAATACATGTAACAGAAGATGTAGATCATAGAAATATGTGTACCAGAAGCTGTAGATCATAGAAATACGTGTAACAGAAGCTGTAGATCATAGAAATACGTGTACCAGAAGCTCTAGCTCATAGAAATACAAGTAACAGAAGCTGTAGCTCATAGAAATGCGTTTAACAGAAGCTGTAGATCATAGAAATACATGTACCAGAAGTTGTAGATCATAGAAATACAAGTAACAGAAGCTGTAGCTCATAGAAATAAGTAACAGAAGCTGTAGATCATAGAAATACAAGTACCAGAAGCTGTATATCATAGAAATACATGTAACAGAAGATGTAGATCATAGAAATACGTGTACTAGAAGCTGTAGATCATACAAATACAAGTAACAGAAGCTGTAGATCATAGAAATACCTGTAACAGAAGCTGTAGATCATAGAAATACATGTAACAGAAGATGTAGATCATAGAAATACGTGTACCAGAAGCTGTAACTCATAGAAATACGTTTAACAGAAGCTGTAGATCATAGAAATACGTTTAACAGAAGCTGTAGATCATAGAAATACATGTACCAGAAGTTGTAGATCATAGAAATACGTGTACCAGAAGCTCTAGCTCATAGAAATACAAGTAACAGAAGCTGTAGCTCATAGAAATACGTTTAACAGAAGCTGTAGATCATACAAATACATGTATCAGAAGTTGTAGATCATAGAAATACATGTACCAGAAGCTGTAGATCATAGAAATACAAGTAACAGAAGCTGTAGATCATAGAAATACAAGTAACAGAAGCTCTAGCTCATAGAAATACAAGTAACAGAAGCTGTAGCTCATAGAAATACGTTTAACAGAAGCTGTAGATCATAGAAATACAAGTAACAGAAGCTGTAGATCATAGAAATACATGTAAAAGAAGCTGTAGATCATAGAAATACGTGTACCAGAAGCTGTAGATCATAGAAATACAAGTAACAGAAGCTGTAGCTCATAGAAATACATGTACCAGAAGTTGTAGATCATAGAAATACAAGTAACAGAAGCTGTAGCTCATAGAAATAAGTAACAGAAGCTGTAGATCATAGAAATACAAGTACCAGAAGCTGTATATCATAGAAATACATGTAACAGAAGATGTAGATCATAGAAATACGTGTACTAGAAGCTGTAGATCATACAAATACATGTACCAGAAGTTGTAGATCATAGAAATACATGTACCAGAAGCTGTAGATCATAGAAATACATGTACCAGAAGCTGTAGATCATAGAAATACCTGCAACAGAAGCTGTAGATCATAGAAATACCTGTAACAGAAGCTGTAGATCATAGAAATACATGTAACATAAGCTGTAGATCATAGAAATACCTGTAACAGAAGCTGTAGATCATAGAAATACCTGTAACTGAAGCTGTAGATCATAGAAATACGTTTAACAGAAGCTGTAGATCATAGAAATACATGTACCAGAAGCTGTAGGTCATAGAAATACATGTACCAGAAGCTGTAGATTACACAAATACATATACTAGAAGCTGCAGATTACACAAATACATATACTAGAAGCTGCAGATCATACAAGTACATGTACCAGAAACTTCAGATCATACAAGTACCAGAACCTTCAGATCATACATGTACCAGAACCTTCAGATCATACAAGTACCAGAACCTTCAGATCATACAAGTACATGTACCAGAAACTTCAGATCATACAAGTACCAGAACCTTCAGATCATACATGTACCAGAACCTTCAGATCATACATGTACCAGAACCTTCAGATCATACAAGTACCAGAACCTTCAGATCATACAAGTACATGTACCAGAAACTTCAGATCATACAAGTACATGTACCAGAAACTTCAGATCATACAAGTACATGTACCAGAAACTTCAGATCATACATGTACATGTACCAGAAACTTCAGATCATACAAGTACATGAACCAGAACCTTCAGATCATACAAGTACATGTACCAGAACCTTCAGATCATACAAGTACTAGAACCTTCAGATCATACATGTACCAGAACCTTCATAAAAGTACATGTACCAGAACCTTCACTTCATAAAAGTACATGTACCAGAACCTTCACTTCATAAGAGTACATGTACCAGAGCCTTCACTTCATAAAAGTACATGTACCAGAACCTTCACTTCATAAAAGTACATGTACCAGAAACTTCAGATCATACAAGTACATGCACAGAGTAAGTTTGGTATTATATCACAAGTAAAAATTAATGCATTTCAGAAAGATCTTAAGATCAGCAGTTCTTAAACTTTTCCAACTCAGGTCTAGCTCATTCCGATTCCAAAATTTCACGTACTGCTTTGTATAATATTAACTTTTCAAAGTACTTTTATATTATAATATAAAACAATATACTTCAGTAGTTATAACTTAAAACACATTTTATTTTTTCAACCATCCTGCAGTTTGGCTTAAATCTCTGAGTGGGGCTATGAAACTCTTAATATCTGACAGAAACCTACCAAGGAAAGATCTAGCATATATAAACATCTAGATCTGGACAGTTACTTGAACTGTTATCCACCCCTATAAGGCTTACTTCATTTGCTCTTTTTGATTTAAGCAGTGCACTGATAATCAGAACTTCAAAAAATGGAAATCATATTTCAACTACTAAGCAAGAAGATCTCTTAACTGATCTACAGATTTGATCCTGAAACACACTACAAACTTTAATTACACTAAAGGTGATCCAACACTGCAGAAGTGCTGGGTGTATAAGAATTACAACTTAAATAACTTTATTTATTTGAATTAATAAAACTAACATAAAAAATCCAAACGTACTAATAACACCATGTTACATCACTGTTTTACTTATAAAAGCAACTACATGTCAATCAAATCATCAATTTTTTTTCCATCAACATAGTCTGATCAGTTTTTTTCTGTTTCAGATGATAATTGTCACATGCAAGTTTAATTTCTAACATTTTTTTTTATATACACTTATATGTTTTGTGGGCACTATTCATGTTCTAAGCTATCTTCCATGAAAAACTGATTAACAGATTTAAAACTTTTAATGCATTTATTGAATTACCTTGAAACAAAAGGAACATTAAATAACATTGATAAGACTAGTTTTTAATAGTAAGACACAGTTTATCATATGAGTAGATCAAAAATATAAAATGTTCATTTAGAAATTCACGTGTACTTGTTTTTATTCATATTTTCATCTTGTTTTAACTGTTGTAAAATCTCTGTAACACTTTTACTTAATAACAAAATGTGTGAACCAATTATTAATACTACCCATGAAATGGAATGTTTAGTTTTGGAAGTATTTAAATATCTTAAAAGTTTACACTAAGTACTTGTGTTAAAACATTAACAATTTTCCTATTCAATAAGCAATTACTAAAACAATGATCAACTTAAATAACAACTTAGATAATAATACACAAAAAAGCATATATTTTGTATAAATATATGTGCAAATGTTTGGGCAAAGAACAACTAATATCTTAAACACAAAACTATTCTAGGCAATGGACTTTACAATTAGTCATTGTTAGTATATAAGGGAAACAAATCTAAATTTGAAATCGGTAATTCATCAAAAAAATAGACAAGTATACTACATCTAATATCCCAATCTTACATAACTTTATTTGGTGGACATTTATAGGTAGTATTCTGAAAAAAAAACAAAAAAATAGTCTCTGGAATATTTTTCACAAAATAACCTCGGCTTTCATTTATACAATGTATATCTGTTTGTGATGCAACTGTATAAAAAATTATCTATATAAAGGTTCTTTCTGTTTAAATACAGATACCACAATACTCCAAAATTAATTTATATATTCCATTCTTCAAAATGCCATTTTTCTAACAGTGAAGAAAGCACGGTATAATGTGAATGTACTATATACTAAAGATTAAAAAAAAAAAAAGTGTACCATATTAAGTTAAATAAAAGAATTGAATACAATGTACCGAGTTTGTGAAAGAACTCTACATCAATGTGATCAATTCAGCTATAATTAATTGAGTTAGATTTTCTTAATTTAGTTAATAGCTTAAAATAATTTTAATAAAACACTAAGCAAGAGAACAAAACGTTATGAAAAACTAAAACAAACATTATGTAAGTACACTTACGCATGATTTTGTATAAATATACAATGTATATTTACATATTCTATGTAAGTATAAACAATCTACGAGCATTGTTCTATTCACATACAATGTTCTCCTTTTCTACATATGTTACAATGTCATGTACCTCAACCTATTCTGCTACTCACAGTACTCAAACCTGTCAACTTAAAATAGTTCTCTAATCAAATTCACAATCCATGAGCAACATTCTAATCGTGTCTATCTTAATTTCACCATTCACTACGTCTGTACTCCATCTATACATCTATACTCAAACCTGTCAACTTAAAATAGCTCTCTAATCAAATTCACAATCCATGAGCAACATTCTAATCGTGTCTATGTTAATTTCACCATTCACTACGTCTGTACTCCATCTATACATCTATACTCAAACCTGTCAACTTACATAGTTCTCTAATCAAATTCACAATCCATGAGCAACATTCTAATCGAGTCTATCTTAATTTCACCATACACTACGTCTGTACTCCATCTATACATCTATACTCAAACCTGTCAACTTAAAATAGCTCTCTAATCAAATTCACAATCCATGAGCAACATTCTAATCGTGTCTATCTTAATTTTACCATTCACTACGTCTGTACTCCATCTATACATCTATACTCAAACCTGTCAACTTAAAATAGTTCTCTAATCAAATTCACAATCCATGAGCAACATTCTAATCGAGTCTATCTTAATTTCACCATTCACTACATCTGTACTCCATCTATACATATACGCATCAGTCGATGTTAGAAAACACTGCAGAATACATTATTGTATATATATATGTGAAAGATGAAATAAAAACAGTAATATTAGGAATATCTGTTAGCGGTCAAAGAAGAAAATGGTATGTACACCTTGCAAAGAACCAGTACGATCAGTTAGTTATACTACAGAATTAAAAACCTTGAAATTCTTTGCCATTGATTCACAGATGTATTATTAAAACTTAAACAAACAAAACAATTTTCATTTTCATTATTCTTTGAAACGAATATAACTGTTGCTTAGTTAGCTCTTGTAATACCCGAAACCATTACTATTAGTGTAAAGTTACATTATTAGTGACTTCTTTACAGAAATCTGATGAGTTTGGTTTGAATTTCATGCAGAGCTACACGAGGGTTATCTGCACTAGACATCTCTAATTTAGCAGTAAAAGACTAGAGGGAAAGCAGCTGGTCATCACCACCCACCGCTGACTCTTGGGTTACTCTTTTACCAATGAATAGTGGGACTGAATGTCACATAATAACGTCACCAGAGCTGAAAGAGCAAGCATTTTTGGTGGGAGGGAGATTAAAAAATGCGACCCGGGGATTGCGAGTCGAACACCCTAACCACCTGGCCATGCCAGGCAATCTGAATAAACTGGAGGACTTTATTATTCCATTATTATATTCTTACACACACACCAAAAATAACTTACAGTTAAAAATTGCAAGATATTATCCCAAACTACCAGGAACCAGATGAATTAAATGTGTAAAAAGAGAAATCCATGAACCATAGTTCAATATCATTGTCCTTATTTATTACAAAGCTATAATTTAATGATTCACCACAGTTACATAAACTTTACACAACTTTAAATTTTAATATTCAATTTCACAAATTAATGAAAAAAATTTCAGATTTGAATTGTTTTAGTTTGAGGAAGATAACAGAAAGTACAGTCTGAAGAAACTGATAAATAAGATACATACAAAAATCATCAACCTAAAAACAAAAATCATTAATGAGGACACAAGGTGACAATACATTTAAAGCTAAAATTTTAACTACAATAACTCTGTTTTTCTGTATCTATACAACAAAGAAACAGTTCCTGAACACTTTTTTTAACAACTACATTAAGTGCTCTCGGTAAACCAGAAAAATATTCCCAAAAAACTCACAAGTCTTTTATTTAAGTTTCAAAGCTTCTTTCAGTCGAGTCACACACAACTGGGATCCTTCGTGTGCCTCTTTACTGAACGGCAAGAAGTTGAGGAATCCATGAGGCAGTTTATCAACACAGTCTAGATGAACTTCCCTCTGGAGCTTCTTCATTCTTCGAGCAAACATAACCGAATCGTCCAGCGTGGGATCAAAAGATGGAGACTGTGAAAAACATAAGAGATATTTTATCATATGAGAAATACGTATAGAAAACATGATTGCAGCGTACATAATTGATAAAAAACCATGAATACATTTTTGGATAAATAGTTTGGTCAAAATTAAAAGCTGCATATGCAAACAAATATAAGCCTAGGGGAAATATATTACTAAGCTTATAGCTTTAAAATTCTATAGTTTCTATCCAATTAATTTAATTCTCCTTCCTGTTGGCCTGTAATTATTATGTTGCTAATTGTGAACAGCTGCTTGCTAGTAAGTGACAATTCACCTTTGATACAGAGGAGTCTGTACGGTGTTCCAGTGAGGTCTGTAGATCCACAATAGGAGACAACAGACACCCGACTTTTGGATTTAGTAAAACATAAATACGACTACTAAGCTTAAAGTCGTGTACCGTTGTTCAATATCTATTACAAGTTATAGAATGATTTTTTTTATTTCTGAAGAACCAGCTAAAAATTTATAAGACTCATAAAATATATGAAATATTCTACATTCATATAGCTGAAAACTTTACTATTATACAACAATAATAAATACCTTGGTTACACCTCTTAAGATGCAAAACTTAATTAATTGTAAAGGATCAGGTTATTAGGATGCACAGTGGGCAAATGAATTGTCAAATCAAAGTTTATTAATTCTAATAATCCTAAAACAGCCAAAGCACCATATATGAATTTATGAAGTGGGCTGAGTAATTAAAAGTGAAAAAAAAAACTAATTAAATTTCTTGCAATTGTATAGAATATAGATCTACTAAGTGATGGGTTACAATTTTTTAATGACTGTCTTGGTTCTTACAGTAAACTTTTTTGTTGAATTCAGTACTCATGCCTTTGAGACATTTGCTATATACATAATAATATTAAAAAATATATAAACATTTCAAAATGCTATGGTTTGTTTGGTATGGATTTTAACAGTGTAAGCCTAGAGGGAAGGTGGCTAGTCATCACCACCCACCGCCAACTCTTGGGCCACTCTTTTACCAATGATAAGTAGGATTGACCGTCACATTATAATGATCCCACTGCTGAAAGGGCAAGCATGTTTGGTGTGATAGGGATTCGAACCCACGACTCACAGATTGCGAGTCAAGCTCCCTAACCGTTTGGCCATGCCGGGCCAACAAACTGCTATGGCTCAGTATACAAATTCAAAGTACTAATTACCTATCAGATACACCCCTTTCGTTAATAATACTAACACAAGTTCTTCATAATTAATATAATTCATTCTATTTAATTATATGACGATATTCCTAATATATTAAGACGTATTTATTCTATATGTATTTTACTTACAACAATATATAAAGGTGGAAATTGTAGCAACATTTCATCAGAAGCAAGAAAAGGAGACATAAATGGGTTGCTTGTTATGATTTTAACCCTCTGGAATTTCTTTGCCAATCCAGGCTTCTGTTGGAGATACCACGGTACCTGAAACAAACCTGTCCTTGTGTCTGTTCCCTGTGAGAAGATACGACTGCCTGCTAAATGATTCTTATAAAACTTTGTTTCCGTGAATGAATTAGAAACTTTATTCCAGCAATTTCGTGTCATTTTACAACATTTCCTTTGCAAACTGAAGGATAGATCAGTTGGTAGATGAAAGACGTTGTTTTCATCTGGATCTACCGTGTCATGAAGCTGCTGCTTGTCAGTGTCAGCTTGGTTATATTTGAGTAGAAATTCTGACACGTATCTGTCCGACATAGGGGTGTGTCCACTAGAACATAACATAGAATCTTTTTCATCATCTTCAGGAGCGACAGAACTATTGCCATCATCATCATCATTAACCAGTTTTCTATCATGCAGAACAGAGTGGCTACCACTGTCTAATGCTGGTGCTGTTCCTTCTATCTCCATCTGTTCTAGGTCTTTAATCAAGCTTATTCCAGAGTCAAAGAATCCAGAAATTCCTAATTTCTTTCCCTCATTCTCTTTTTCTTCATCACTATACTCATCATCATCTATTCGATCAATACCTGCATATGCTATAATGGAACGAACACATATCGTTATTAATAGATTGCTTTTGTAAATTAACTTTTAGTGAAATCTCAGTATCATTTAAATAGCTCTTCTACAGAAAGTTAAAATAATACACATCCTTTGTAGTCATCTTGAATAAGGCACGCTTACATAACTCAAGTAGTGCCTTTAATTAAAAAAATATGTTAAAAAAATATGCACTAGAAAATTAATTTTTAAGTATTTTTTTAAAGCAAAACTATTCAGAAACTATGCAAGACATTTCACTAAAACCTAATTAGAACCAAATTTGTCATTAAAAAAAGAAGGCAATGTCTCCACAGTGAATTGTAAATATTAATGTATACTCTATTTAAACATAAAATTATGTTTTTATTTATCTTTCATTAATCTAACTCTTATATTTTCTCAAGACGTACACTCCTTATAATCTAATATTTTCTCAAGACGTACACTCCTTATAATCTAATATTTTTCAAGACGTACAGTCCTTATAATCTAATATTTTCTCAAGACGTACAGTCCTTATAATCTAATATTTTCTCAAGACTTACAGTCCTTATAATCTAATATTTTCTCAAGACGTACAGTCCTTATAATCTAATATTTTCTCCAGATGTACAGACCTTATAATCTAATATTTTCTCAAGACGTACAGTCCTTATAAATTAATAACTGTACATCTTGAGAAAATATAAGATTATAAGGACTGTACGTCTTGAGAAAATATTAGATTATAAGGACTGTACATCTTGAGAAAGTATTAGATTATAAGGACTGTACGTCTTGAGAAAACCTTATAATCTAATATTTTCTCAAGACGTACAGTCCTTATAATCTAATATTTTCTCAAGACGTACACTCCTTATAATCTAATACTTTCTCAAGATGTACAGTCCTTATAATCTAATATTTTCTCAAGACGTACACTCCTTATAATCTAATACTTTCTCAAGATGTACAGTCCTTATAATCTAATATTTTCTCAAGACGTACACTCCTTATAATCTAATACTTTCTCAAGATGTACAGTCCTTATAATCTAATATTTTCTCAAGACGTACAGTCCTTATAATCTAATATTTTTTCAAGCCATACAGTCCTTATAATCTAATATTTTCTCAAGATGTACAGTCCTCATAATCTAATATTTTCTCAAGATGTACAGTCCTTAACTACTTAAAGATTATGTTTTATTTCCTAAAGCACATCCATATATTGTAGTCTCTCAAATATGTTTAAATAAATTACCATCCAAGCAACTGAGCATGAAACCGAGAGGAAGCAGCGGATCCATACAACACAAAAGCCGGGAAGGAGAAGGAATCATGTCCAGCATCATGGGGGTGTAAGCACAAAATACAGCATCTGGTATGCGAATACCATAGTCTATAGCTTTTAATGTCAGACCCATCATTAGATTTCCTCCTGCACTGTCACCAGCAAGGCAAATACGTTCACCCGTTGAGCCTGAGTAGGACACATTTTCAAATGGATTAAAAGATAAAAACACATTCTTTCAAATATAATGTTGTTGATCCCGATTAATCTCTATGCATTTTAAACATATAAACATGGATATTATGATTGAAGACACATACCTGTTACAGCAATTGAAAGACACAGAACTATCATAACTTCACATGGTTCATAATGTTGTTGTTCCCATAACTTCGCATGGTTCATATAAATTTAGCTATTTTTTTCTTTCAAGAATTTTCACGGATTTTTACTGATTTTCCCGGGGAATTTTTTCCCATAATCATTTTATATCTCAGTTTGAAATATTAATAAAAAATTATACAAAACTAACCATTATGATATTTGTTTGTTTGTAATTAAGCACAAAGCTACACAATGGGCTATCTGTGCTCTGCCCACCACGGGTATCAAAACCCAGATTCTAGCGTTGTAAGTCCGTAGACATACCGCTGTGCCACTGGGGGCCTTTTATGACGTACCAGTAGTTTTATTTTAAATTTTATAGGTACTGTTCTACTGGTTAAAAAGTATGTATGAAAGAGATGACAGAATTTAGAGCATGGGTGTAAATTTTTTAATCACAATAAAGGGTCATAAAAAAAAACAATTAGTCAGAGAGAAACATTAAATGAAAATTTGTTTTACTTAATCGTAATGGGTGAAAGGGTTCATAGGATACAACTGTTCCTCACTAATTTGAATGCAAAAGATCATGTTTACCATTGAAAGATGGGATCAGTGATATTACCCATCCTCATAATGTCTTCTGTTGTCACAAAATCTTTAATTTGCAACCATTTTCACCAATATACATAAAAGGTCGCAAAGCTTACCAATTATGCAGTAGACATGTAAAAGACTTTTTTAATATGGAAACATCTTCCATCTGCTGTTGTTTGTTTGCAGAAGTTGTAACTTTTTTAAGTATTTTAAGTTCATGACCATAAAGCTTAAGCAATAAATGTTTGGAATTTTTGACAGTGAAGAATTAATGTTAGTGTTTGATAATGCAGCACTGTAATTATTTAGACATTTCTACAGTCAGACAGACTGGAACTTTTTGAGAAATACAGATAAACTGCTCAAATTGTTTAACTTTATAGCTCTTTTTCTTAATGTTTAGACTAGATTATGATCAATGTTTAACTTTATAGCTCTTTTTCTTAATGTTTAGACTAGATTATGATCAATGTTTAACTTTATAGCTCTTTTTCTTAATGTTTAGACTAGATTATGATCAATGTTTAACTTTATAGCTCTTTTTCTTAATGTTTAGACTAGATTATGATCAATGTTTAACTTTATAGCTTCTTTTTCTTAACATTTAAACAAGATTATGATCAATGTTTAACTTTATAGCTCTTTTTCTTAATGTTTAGACTAGATTATGATCAATGTTTAACTTTATAGCTCTTTTTCTTAACGTTTAGACTAGATTATGATGAATGTTTAACTTTATAGCTCTTTTTCTTAACGTTTAAACTAGATTATGATCAATGTTTAACTTTATAGCTCTTTTTCTTAACGTTTAGACTAGATTATGATCAATGTTTAACTTTATAGCTCTTTTTCTTAACATTTAGACTAGATTATGATCAATGTTTAACTTTATAGCTCTTTTTCTTAACGTTTAAACAAGATTATGATCAATGTTTAACTTTATAGCTCTTTTTCTTAACGTTTAAACAAGATTATGATCAATGTTTAACTTTATAGCTCTTTTTCTTATTATAATCATATTCATTACATTTTTTTACTTTGATGAATTTTCTTCTCTAATAGCAGATATTTCAAAATATAATAAAAGATGAGAAGCTTTCGTAACCCTAAAAATTGCTGAAGATCTATCTGATTGGAAGTTTTGCTCACTAGACCCTCTACAAAGACACAAGAGGGCCTAGATAAGCTCTCCAATTCACTGTCATCTGAATCTTTCCTTTAAAAATTAGAATCAAATGTGCCCACAACAAACATGTGCTTTTATGGATACTGGAAGTACCGTACATAGTAATTGAATACTTTGGCAAATTAAACCTGGCTACACACAAGCAAGCTAACAACTAGTGTTTTTATTAAAAGAAAAGTAACATTCATTGGAATAAAACTGAAAAGTAATAGACCATTTTTAATTCCAGGTCTTTTCCAGAGTAAACCTAAAATTTATAAAATTTCAGGAGTTTTCCAGTGCTCACCTAAGTTTTCCATGTCTGTGCAAAACATGCTTTAAGTTTTGGAACAGAACACCAAACTGAGAGGACTTTGAAGTTCATGAACGATGTAAAATTAGATATATTTCGGACAATCACACGGAGAACTTGGAATTTTGTCAAAGCATTAGAAACTTTGAGCAGGCTTTTAACTAAGGTACAATGTGCAAAAAAATCAGAACCATGCCATTCATCACCCAGTAACAACAGGTGAACACTAATTTCAGGTGTTGAGTGCACACCTGCAAGTCCATTTTTAAAATTTAAGTTAAATAATAATAATGTGTTTAAATTTTTTTTATTATTATAAGCCTATTTCAAAATATTTTTAACTCAGAAATATTTTAGAATTGACCATTTGTCCTTTAATATAATTTGCAAACAAAAGTGGAAAAAAAAAAGTTTGAATATATATTTCTGTACAGAGTGGCAGAGTCTAGACTCTAAACAATATACTTATTGACTTTTACAATTTTTTTTGCTCATCTGTAAGCATAGGTTTATATTTGCTAAAAAACTGTCAACCCTGGAGAATTTAATTAGCCATGTCTTGTTTTTCATATTAATTTCTTTCTCTGTTTAAGGTTTTATTACTATAGCATTATTACAAAAACTTTAATTCAAAAATGGCTTGGTTTGTTTTGAATTTCGTGCAAAGCTACACGAGGGCTATCTGCGCTAGCCGTCCCTAGTTTAGCAGTGTAAGACTAGAGGGAAGGAGTCATCACCACCCACCTCCAACTCTTGGGCTACTCTTTTACCAACGAATAGTGGGACGTTATAACGCTCCCACAGCTGAAAGAGCGAGCATGTTTGGTGTGACGGGGATTCGAACCTGAATAATTCAAAAATATTTTAGTATTAATAATTTGTTCATTTGTAATATTTAACTTAATGTGAATTGCAAAAAACAAAATTTTACAAATAAATAGAGACTAAAACGACACTTGAACGTATATATACAATTAAAA